GGTCCTATATTGGAATCGCTTGTTCAATTCAGAGTTCTGGCAATCATCAAATGTCAAGACTAAGTTTATTAATGTTTCGTCATGTTTGGTTCAATACTGGGCAGTCAAGCATGAGATTGTCAATGCACTACCAAAGTTCTGTTAAACACCAAGTGCCAAGATTAGGTATATATTTTCGTCAAACTACATCTAATATGGGAAACATAGTATTGGATAATATGGAAAGCGACGCAGTTGTTCATTGTTGAATTATTTTTGTTTATCATGTTTTGGCATAGTATTTGCTGCCTAATCTTGAGTTAAATTTGTTCAGCATTGGCTGTCATGATTATGATTTCCTACATGGAGGAGTGATAAAAATATCACTTTTTTGACTTTAACAACTAAAACACTATTTTAGGTTTACTACTCATAAAATTTGGGACCACAGACGTTCCAAGAAACCTTATTAAATATGCGAAAGTACGGGTGTGTGAAGGTATATCAGTTTGTCAGTAATGAGGGTGTCGAAGATAACTCGAAATAGTGCCCATGTTGCCCTACGTTCTTCCAAACTATGCTGATACATTGCTTCTAGATTTAAAGGGATTCAAAGGGCAGTTTATCAGTCCGGTTCTGTGGTCCGAAGTCTGAAACGCATTGGCAGGACTTCTTGAGCTTTAGAATAATTCAGGACTTAAAATTCTAAAAGTCCTTAATTCATTATCTAAATCTTTCATATTATGTCCGATTAGAATACGTTATTAGATTGATATAGATAACATTAGAACAGTATCTTTTTGATAACATTAATCAACGTTATCGCCAGTTTAGTGTCATTGCATTACATACCATTTACTTATCGGTTTTTGAATGTATACTATACCATACATAGAATATTAATCTTTACCATTTGCGTATTGTCATGTAATTACAAAATTTGTGTTAAACAAATAATGGAATTAATCGACTCAAAGTGTACAAAGTTTGTTGGCTATTATAAATGATTATATTGATTTAAAATAAAATATTGCGTATGTCTTTATCTAAAACTTCTCAGAAAGAACGATAATGGGGCTAATTATTGAAATTGTTAAACGATTTTGAAAAGAAAGCTACTTCAATATAATTGGTACCTACTTATTTTAACTGCTAATTTCTGATTGTAGTCGTGTAAAAACACGCAAAAGTAAACAAAAAGAAAAGTAAAATTCCTCATATGCTTGCTAAATAAAACGTCATCACTAAAACTTTAAATTCAGCAAAATATGCGTTAAACGCTTATTTCTAAGTAATAAATTACACGTGTAATAGCACAATTTACATGCTATAATCGCAGATTTTAAGTATCTTTTTTAATTAAACGTTTATTAAATCGGAAATTAAAATCTGCATATGTCAGCAAATTGTTGTTATAGAACGTAGTACTTTAAGCAAAAAGATTACAATGTCACAAAGTAAAATCGTAATGATGGTTTATTAAGTTAATCACCTTGATATAAGGTGTTCACCTTAATTATTGAAGACAAGGTTTGTTATAGGAAGAAGTGAAGGAAAAATACTATGTTTAATTCTGAATGATATTGCAGCAAGTACAAGGGTAAAGCTAAGTTTTTTTGTCGTCATTTTTGAAGTACCCATCTAAAATTTTTTTGTTTACTGACGCAGTATTAATTAAAGATGTAAGAACAATATTTAGTAGACATTCTAATTATGTACATATCTATCAGTTCTTAATTCATATAAAAGTTTGCAGAATTTCCGTGTTCAATTCCTAATAGATTTATGTATATGCAAATTGAGTAAACTCGATAGTATATTATTGCAAGATGTAAGAAGTTCAACTGTTAATAGTCTGTTAATAATAAATCCGACGGTTTCATACGAAGAATATGCTTTGGTTCCATGACTAACAACCTCCCTTCCTAGTAGAAAAAACCTAACGTTCTTTATCAAACGTTTGGTTAACAACTGCCCAAAAATTCTGCACATTTACCTTTATTAATCAAAAATTTAATCTTAATCAATCCTATTTATGTAACCAATTTATGCAATGAACAAATGACCGCTGTAATGAATAAAATTATGTTTCAAGTGACCATGCATTTCACTTACCTAGTTCATTATTGAATTAATTAATTAATAACTTGCTCTAGTAATTGGTAAGGTCAGCATCATCAGATGTTTACTGCACAATTTTCACATTTAATTAGTCAATTAATGCCGCAATGTATTGTTCATTAATGTAATCAACCGGCTCGTAAAAATGTATAAAATACCACGACGAATCCTGCGCGAAAACTGAAGAAAAGAAATAAATGCACATTTAGCATCGTTGTTTGTAATATTTCATCATCATCACTATATATAAATAAATGAGATAAGAAGTAGAAGATATTAAATTTTTAAGCTACATGTGTATGATAAGAAGCACCTATAAGAAATTAAATTACTTAGAAGCCAACCCCATCAATAATTTTTTCAAAAATTGGTAATTTGTACTTTTCAGATTTTTCCCTTGAATATGGCCAATATGATCTACTTTGACACCACTTTCATGTTTTTAAGTAATACGGAAGTGGTCTAAATTTTTGATAAGAAAGTTATAAGAATAGCACACATTAGACTTTGATAACCATAAAACTATGCCAAGCTTAAAAATGTGAAATAGCAAGTGTGTTGGTGTAACAGTTTTCGAGTTATAAGTGGGTCGAAAATAGCTAGAAATACTGACTGTATTACCCCTTATTTTTCGAACTTAGCTGATACACTGTTGTGTCTAGAAACCACGACTTAAAATTGTAAAAGTCCTTCATTCATTGTCTAAATCTTCGAAGTTTCTGAGACCAGTAATGAGAAGGCAAGCATTGGCTTATCAATATTTGTCCAAAAATCGCTCGGTCAATCTCCAATGCCAAGGCTAGACACATTAACGTTTCCCCAAGTTTGGTCCTATATTGGAATCGCTTGTTCAATTCAGAGTTCTGGCAATCATCAAATGTCAAGACTAAGTTTATTAATGTTTCGTCATGTTTGGTTCAATACTGGGCAGTCAAGCATGAGATTGTCAATGCACTACCAAAGTTCTGTTAAACACCAAGTGCCAAGATTAGGTATATATTTTCGTCAAACTACATCTAATATGGGAAACATAGTATTGGATAATATGGAAAGCGACGCAGTTGTTCATTGTTGAATTATTTTTGTTTATCATGTTTTGGCATAGTATTTGCTGCCTAATCTTGAGTTAAATTTGTTCAGCATTGGCTGTCATGATTATGATTTCCTACATGGAGGAGTGATAAAAATATCACTTTTTTGACTTTAACAACTAAAACACTATTTTAGGTTTACTACTCATAAAATTTGGGACCACAGACGTTCCAAGAAACCTTATTAAATATGCGAAAGTACGGGTGTGTGAAGGTATATCAGTTTGTCAGTAATGAGGGTGTCGAAGATAACTCGAAATAGTGCCCATGTTGCCCTACGTTCTTCCAAACTATGCTGATACATTGCTTCTAGATTTAAAGGGATTCAAAGGGCAGTTTATCAGTCCGGTTCTGTGGTCCGAAGTCTGAAACGCATTGGCAGGACTTCTTGAGCTTTAGAATAATTCAGGACTTAAAATTCTAAAAGTCCTTAATTCATTATCTAAATCTTTCATATTATGTCCGATTAGAATACGTTATTAGATTGATATAGATAACATTAGAACAGTATCTTTTTGATAACATTAATCAACGTTATCGCCAGTTTAGTGTCATTGCATTACATACCATTTACTTATCGGTTTTTGAATGTATACTATACCATACATAGAATATTAATCTTTACCATTTGCGTATTGTCATGTAATTACAAAATTTGTGTTAAACAAATAATGGAATTAATCGACTCAAAGTGTACAAAGTTTGTTGGCTATTATAAATGATTATATTGATTTAAAATAAAATATTGCGTATGTCTTTATCTAAAACTTCTCAGAAAGAACGATAATGGGGCTAATTATTGAAATTGTTAAACGATTTTGAAAAGAAAGCTACTTCAATATAATTGGTACCTACTTATTTTAACTGCTAATTTCTGATTGTAGTCGTGTAAAAACACGCAAAAGTAAACAAAAAGAAAAGTAAAATTCCTCATATGCTTGCTAAATAAAACGTCATCACTAAAACTTTAAATTCAGCAAAATATGCGTTAAACGCTTATTTCTAAGTAATAAATTACACGTGTAATAGCACAATTTACATGCTATAATCGCAGATTTTAAGTATCTTTTTTAATTAAACGTTTATTAAATCGGAAATTAAAATCTGCATATGTCAGCAAATTGTTGTTATAGAACGTAGTACTTTAAGCAAAAAGATTACAATGTCACAAAGTAAAATCGTAATGATGGTTTATTAAGTTAATCACCTTGATATAAGGTGTTCACCTTAATTATTGAAGACAAGGTTTGTTATAGGAAGAAGTGAAGGAAAAATACTATGTTTAATTCTGAATGATATTGCAGCAAGTACAAGGGTAAAGCTAAGTTTTTTTGTCGTCATTTTTGAAGTACCCATCTAAAATTTTTTTGTTTACTGACGCAGTATTAATTAAAGATGTAAGAACAATATTTAGTAGACATTCTAATTATGTACATATCTATCAGTTCTTAATTCATATAAAAGTTTGCAGAATTTCCGTGTTCAATTCCTAATAGATTTATGTATATGCAAATTGAGTAAACTCGATAGTATATTATTGCAAGATGTAAGAAGTTCAACTGTTAATAGTCTGTTAATAATAAATCCGACGGTTTCATACGAAGAATATGCTTTGGTTCCATGACTAACAACCTCCCTTCCTAGTAGAAAAAACCTAACGTTCTTTATCAAACGTTTGGTTAACAACTGCCCAAAAATTCTGCACATTTACCTTTATTAATCAAAAATTTAATCTTAATCAATCCTATTTATGTAACCAATTTATGCAATGAACAAATGACCGCTGTAATGAATAAAATTATGTTTCAAGTGACCATGCATTTCACTTACCTAGTTCATTATTGAATTAATTAATTAATAACTTGCTCTAGTAATTGGTAAGGTCAGCATCATCAGATGTTTACTGCACAATTTTCACATTTAATTAGTCAATTAATGCCGCAATGTATTGTTCATTAATGTAATCAACCGGCTCGTAAAAATGTATAAAATACCACGACGAATCCTGCGCGAAAACTGAAGAAAAGAAATAAATGCACATTTAGCATCGTTGTTTGTAATATTTCATCATCATCATGCCTTTTTTGCTCGCATTTTAAGAGATAAGACACCAAATGCTGGTCGTGAGGTTAGAGGTAACCTTGAACGAAAGTGAAAGGTGTATTCTTGTCATAATAAGAAGGTTTGAAAGCCTTTAATAATAAAGCATCTTAGAATGCAAAATTTTAACATAACAGTAAAACTGTATGCTATATGTAAGTAAGAGAAAGTTAAATAGAATAATAAATAAAGTAAACTATTGAAATATGAATAGATATAAGTCAATCAATATTAGTAAACAGATACATTGCCTTTTGTTTTATTTATAAGAACGTAATTTCGGTTTTACTGCATATTGAATTATAAAATTAATTATTAATTAAATACGTCCAGTAATTATTTATTTAATAATGCACAAATGGTTTGTGGATCAGTGTGTAGATTTGATTACGTATGCATATCTGTCATACTTATGGATGCACTTTAAATCGATAAACAATGATTTATCACAATTTTTGTATAATAATGCTCTCGAAGAGGTCAAAAATCGTAATGTACAGATAAAAACATTTTCAGTTGTTTCCTATTCAGATAATCATTAAATGTAGGGTTGATAAAAATTGATGTGAATACTTTTTTTGTAGCATCGTGATACAGATGGCGTTTACTGTGCCATTTGCAGTATTTTCTAAAACGCGCTGTTAAGACAGCAGGTAAAAGTTGGTCTGTGTTCTGTCGGAGCTGCCTGCGATGCGCTGATGAGATCCAAAAAGAACGAAACCGCGATCCTCGCTGGCAGTTTCGACAGAATACAGACCACTTCGAATTAATTTATTCGATTAAGCTAACGTGCCTATCACGTTGAGGTTGGCTACGCCGGGATTCGTTTTCAGCAAGTAGATATCCACACAAGTGGACCTTGTTGGAGCATACGTAATCCTAAAATGTAGCATCGT